CCCGATATAATTTAATTGTTCCCTTTTTTTGAGACCCCCGCCGCACGGGGGTTTGGCTGTTTTTGGGGTTAAACTTTGGCCCCCCCCCCCCCCCACAGACCCTTACAGACAGACGCTGCCCCCGTCACAGATCGTTACAGACATCTTAATTAATTAATTAATCATTATTTAATTAATTAGTATTTAATTAACTAATTAACCGTCACAGACCGTGACAGACAGGGTCTGGGTCCATCACAGACCGTGACAGACAGGGTCTGGGCCCATCACAGACCGTGACAGACAGGCTTTGGACCCATCACAGACCGTGACAGACAGGATTTGCACCCATCACAGACCGTGACAGAGAAACTGTAGTTCTAAAGCATCAGATAAACGGTTAGCTGCAAATGTATTGCAAAGAAATGGAACAAAACGATTTCAATTTAATTAGAAACAACAGATCCATCGTGTTTCACATTTTTAATCCCGCAAGGGATTGCGCTAACAGCTTTTTCCCTGCGAGAAGAAAGAAAACATAGAGTAGCTTGCATTGTGAGTTCAAATCGGTATTTTATTCTACACTTATTTTTACTGTAATAGTTGACATCGATTATTAGGAGTATCATAACACTTTTAGAAGATTACTATAGATAACAGCTTTTTCATCATTCTTTTTAATGTAAAGATAGGCTTATTTATCCGAGAAAATTAAGATATAGAATATATGCTAACAGTTGAAATAAGCCAAGAGTTGAGAAATACTTGGAAGCGTTAGAAAAGTCATTGTTAGGAAAAGAAGGAACAATAAACATTTATTACAGCTCATTCCTCCCCCTCCCTAACGTTTTCAATATCAGAATTAACCGGATGTAAAAATTTACACGTCAATTAAATAATTCCATTTGCTATGGAATTTTTCAAATAATTGATTTTGTCGGCCTTGCTTCTTCATCATGACACCCGATCTAAGGGTTGTAATACACTGGTGTTTAGTATTAATCGTCATGTAGCGTCTCAGTATTACAGCTCTAGTGAGATTGGTCGAAGCTTCAACTAATCTGTGAGATTCAAATGAAACGAAAGAACGAGCTGAAAGATAACTCGAGCTTTTTCCCTTCTGTTGCTTTGACACTGTTACGCCACACGTCAATGCTATTGCGAAAGAGACGTGAATCATATGAAAGTTTCCCTTTACGTTCTGCTAATGCCCTATTTATATATACACATGTTCTCTTCATGCACTTTCATTCTATCGGTACGTTCGTCGAGTATTACTGATTCTCATCACTATCTTCAGCTGTTGTTTTTTTCTTGACTGTGTATTTAATATTTGTCATTTTTTTTTCGAAAATCTATTGTTGTTTATTTTGCTGATCTTTTATTTTGAAATAAAAGTTCGAAATTATTCTTGTCTCTCTATCTAATTTTCTTGTGAAAGCTACAATTATGTCATTTATTCGATATCGATGCAAATCTGAAAAGGATTTCAAACTGTTTCCATGTGATGAAATGAGTTGTTCTCTAGGTAATTTAAAGCGATTCCTCATGGGCAAATCATCGAAATTAGCATCACGTCGTTCGAAAGATGAGATTGATTTTATTGTCACTAATGCATCGACTAATGAAGGTATGTCTCTAACTATTGCTCTTCCTTGTCACATGCATTCTTGTTCGTTTTCTAGAGTATCGAGACGATAGCGATTTAATTCCACGCAACACAAGTGTCATTGTGGTTAGACAGCTGCGCGAAACTTTCGAGTCATTGACTCCGACAACAAATCAACACCAATGTATCTCATTTGATGATATCATCGATGGGTGAGCAAAGTAGAATTTTTATTTAAAAAAGAATGAATTGTTTTTGTATCTCTTACAGTCATCTTCGTTCTGGTCTTCTATCGGAAACAATGGACAGTACGATTTCGTGTGAAAATACTACGACAAAAATTACAACTGAACTTGAACTTATCAAAGAGATTCCGAAATCGCTGCAACAGACAACAAAGCCAACATCCTATACTTGTCATCACTGCAAGCGCTCCGGACATATAAAGCGTTATTGTCCCCTTCTGATCGGAAGTTCCACAGTTAAAATGCACGGAACAATCAATTCAGTCCTATCCGCATCTATTTCAGCTTCTAGACCACATTCTTGTCTTGTCAATAATAAAAATGTTGTAACTTATAGTGTAAATGACCCTAGTCTAGAAAAATCATTATCTAATAAAACTCAGACTGGCATTGACACTCATCAAGTTTTGCCGGTCTTTCCTTTCTCTGCTTTCTCATCCTCAAATATTTCTCTTCAGCAGTCATCATTGAATTTCGCCATCGGTTCTCCATCGAAAGATGATGATGCAAAGCTGAGTCCGATTCGCTCTGCCCATCCTGGAGCTCGTCCATCACATATAGTATCCCGCTCTTCACCGTATCAACTTTCATATGGTCATGTTCGTCGACGATCCATACATAAAACAGCAGCAGGTATTTCATGTGATAATCTCATTGCAATCCCGCGAGAGATCCCCGGAGCGCTACAAGACAAAAGTGGTGCTGTTTTATTATTCCAAGACAAATGGCGTAAGTAAGATGCTATTGGTGTTGAATGAGCAATGATTCCATTGGCTTTTTTACTTTATAGAGAGCTGATTGTAGAAACAAGCAGAAAACGATAAAAGTGGAAAGTTGCTGATTTCAATTAAACAATTCAAAAACTCAAACAAATATGAATACGTTAAAAAAATCTCAAAAATAAGGATGTGGGTGAAAGAAGACATATTCCAACGCCATCTACTTCGCAGTGCAATGTTCAGAATCAAACAAAAAGAAAAACAAATTGTTTTATATATCCTTCATGTAACCTTAGTATTGAAAATGAACTTTTGAAACAAGTTCAAAGCTTGAATGTATATTTTTTGTTTAAAATAAATAAATAATTGATGCACTACTTCATCTTGAAAATAAAATCTTTTTGACATTCAGATATTGATTTATATAAGGATGGGTGTGGGTATCTGTTGATGACTCTATCTTTTGAGTCGGACATCGGCATCCACACCCTAAATAATGATCTGAAGTTGCGATCACCGTCAATTTGTTTGACGATTCTTCGATTAAGATATGCGACGGATTGCTTGGGTGTGGGTGTCAGTGTCCGACTTAGAAGATAGGGCTATCAACAGATGTCCGCATTCCACACCCTCCCACATGCACACCCACACCCAATATCTACAACAGCTTTTCTTCTAGTCTATCATTATTTAACTAGT